TGTAAATAGATTTATGTAAATAGTTTTATTCAGGAAATAAATATTCTTGATCTATCTGTTATTGATATTAAAACTTGTAGAAAACAACCCTATGCTTTTGGATTCCAATGAAATAGAATTGTACCATACCAGAACAATGACCAGTTTCTATTATATTAGTTCTTCATTTGACAGAACATCTGTGATATTAAAATAAATCCAAATTGACATACTATTATACTTCTTGTCATAGCTGTATTACTTAAGTATTCTTTGTTTCACATAAAGCACATTTAAAACTAAAGATTTATTAATAAATTTATATCTGGAAATGTTGTATGAGAAACTATGGTTTAATAGTCATGATCATATTTAACCATTTTCTAAAAGAATCAATATTGAAAATTAACTTTAAGAATTCATATTGTTCCTTACTTTAAGGAGTTTTGATTACATTGTTTGTGGGAGTGTGAATGGGATTAACATAATTTAAAAAATGATTTGATTCTAAATTGTAAAGTCGAACACTTTCATTCTCTACTACCCAGCCATTTCACTCCTATCTTTTGCATATGGTTACCAAGAGATAGTGCAAAAATAATTTATAAAATCATTGATCATAATAACAAAAATTGGAAATTCAAATACCCACAAAAGAAGATGAATACCTTAATTATGGGAGTCACATAATGAAATATTATATAGCAGTAAAAATGATTAAACTATGAGGTGAGGTTGTGGCTCAGCGGTGGAGCGCTCGCCCAACATGTGCAAGGCGCTGAGTTTGATACTCAGCACCAGATAAAAGTAAATAAATAAAGACATTGTGTTTGACTACAACTAAAAAAATACTAAAAAAGTGATTAAACTATATGTAGCAATATGTGAAAATATAGAACTATAGCAAGTAAAAATAAAACACAAGTACTAGAGAACTATGTATAGTAAGATACTGTTTAATAAAGTTGGAAAAACAAGCAAAACTAAAAATATACTACTTAGGGAGGCAGACACATGTGATGAAGTTATTTTTTAAAAAGACAAGGGAGTGATACTCAAGTGGACCAAGGAGGACAGGTGGAGAAGTGGTATAGGGAAAGAACTCCTAGGCAGGCACAAAGATGTTAACCATAGCCCAGATTTTTGGTTGGGCGATAGGTTCATAGGTGTAGTAATCATAGTTGTTGTGCTTCCTGACAATACCTACATGCACTGTTTTATATTTATAACTTGAAAATTTAGCTGTCTGTGGTGGCACATGCCTGTAATTCAAGAGACTCAGGAGGCTTAAACAGGAGGATTGCAAGTTCAGGCTAGCCTCAGCAACTCAGCAAGGCTCTAAGCTACTTAGTGAAATCCTGTCTCAAAAAAAAAAAAAAAAAAAAAAAAAAAGGTGAGGATGTGGCTTGGTGGTAAAGCCTTATGGGTTCAAAAAAGGTTACATATATTTGAGTGTATACTGATAGAATATTAGTAAGTCTTACTCAATGCCCAGTATATATTTCTGGGCAATGGAAAGAACTATTTAATAATACAACTTATTGTATTGGGAAATTTAAAATTCTGCAGAGAACTTAAATATGTATAAAATTTTCATTTGAGATGATTTCAGTTGGTCTTAAAATCAAATTCATCATCCAGAGGTTCAGCTGATAATCATATTTGATTATTTTAACTTTGTACAAGGTGGCAAAAACAAAATGAGGACATCATCATATTTGAAATTGATTTATTGGTTTTAAAATCTTATTTTAATATATTTTATACCTTAAGAGAAACTACACTGAAATTTTTTCTTAGAATAAATTATTATTTAAAATTTTTTTTAGTTGAAGATGGACATAATACCTTCATTTTGTTTATTTTTATGTGGTGCCAGGATCAAACCCAGTGCCTCACGCTTTCTGGCAAGCACTCTACTTCTGAGCTACAACACCAGCCCAGAATAAATTTTTTTAAAGCTATATTTTTAATGTTCTTTATATACTTGTAAGGCTCAGCTGAGCCATTTTATAGTAGAATATGGTTATTACCTAGAAATTATTTTATCACTTTTGTGTCTTATGAAAACCTAGGTTTGCCATTAGCTCTGTGTTCATTCCCAATTTACTTATAATAATAAAGCATTTGTTTAATAAACATTTTATTTTTTAAAAATATTTTTATTAGTTATTGATGGACCTTTATTTATTTATATGTGGTGCTGAGAWTCGAACCCAGTGCATTGCACATGCTAGGCAAGCACTCTACCACTGAGCCACAATCCCAACCCATAATATACATTTTATAATACCTCTTTTTTCTCTGTGAAATTTAGACAGTATTTCACCTTAGCAGCAGATCTTTTGGGTATTTAGGTACAAAGGACAGTTTATTTACACCTGACCCACAGTTATTCTCAATGTGTGAACTAAATACTCACAGAGCAGTGTTTGTCTCAAAGGCTAAAATCAGAATTGCAGAATAAGAATCCATGCATTTTTTTTCTTGAGATTTCTATACAGGGATCCACTGAAATGTATTAGAGAAGTATAAATATTAGACTAATCATCTTGGTGGTAATCAATGGATGTTAGACTAGTGAAAGAGTTATCAGAATAATTGAACTTCAGTTTCAACTTCTAATTTACTGAATTGTGGTATTCATTTAACCTCTTTGTTCCTCACTTTCCCTCTTATTTATAAACAGACAAGAACTCCTCTGTCTTCCTCAGAGGACTGAGGATAAAAGAATAGAAATAAGTAGCTATATATGAAAATCTTTATTTCATTTATTTTTATGAGGTACTGAGGGTCAGACCCAGTGCCTCACATGTGCTAGGCAAGTGCTGTACCACTGAGTCACAACCCCAGTGCTATAAAAATCTTTGTAATTTCACATAATATGCAAATGTGTTTGTCACTAAAGTCTCTTTTTCAAAACTCTAATATATTAGAACTTACAATAAAGTTTAACAAAAAGCTTATTTAAGCATTTTAAAAAATTCCAAGTAAACTATGTGAATTTCTTAATAGGAAAATGCCTAGGAGATTTGCTTGAAAAATTATTTTATTGATTTCCACATAGATGAACTACATAGATGTAAATGTCAAAGCATTATCTCCACCTAATATGCAGGAAGTCTGGGTTTATTAATTAATTCATCAAATTGTGCCTTGCTAATTAACCTGCAGAGAGATCATTATAGTAACCTGTGTTTTCTACATAGTTATGGAGGAAACAGAGTGTGTGTCCTAAAGTCATCACTATAGGAATGTTACTGAATGTGCTTTTGGGTGTGTGGTTTTACTGCTACTTCAGGGCCTCATCTGACTTATAGTTCTGGAGTCTTTAACAGTTTATCTACAAATTGCTCTTGCCATAAAGTTTCATGTAATAATGCAATGAAAAGTAAATGGATAATTTACAGTAGTAAATAATGTAAACTTGTCTTCATAGTAATACTGACGAATAACATTTTTGTTCTTAAAGGATTTACAGTTTATTATCTGATTTGGGAATCTCTTGACTATTGAACAAAATGACCTAATTTATTTTAAACTGTTTTCTCTATCAATATTTTCTCAAAATATTGAAAAGTGTAAAGCAGAGCAGGAAACCATATCCTAGTTTTCAAACAGTATATTCAGTTTTCAACAGTATGTTATAGACTAATAACGGTTCTTCATATTTCCTTTCTTTTTTTGTATGTTTGTATTACTGGGATCATATCCTATGCACCATTTAAATGATTAAGTTTTATTTTTTTGTGATGGAAACCTGCCTTTTGTAGGAACTTTGGCAAAGTTGTGGAAAATAGACAAAAATCTAAAGCAGAAAATGAAAATCACATATTAATCTACTATTGTGGTTATCACTGTTAACATTTTGATGTATTTCCTTCAAGTGCTTTAAAATTTTAATTTTAAAAAATTGGGATACCATTTCCTGAGATCAGGCAGTTTATACTCTTCCAGTCCAGAGGACTGGATGAACCAGATCAGCACTCTTCTTCCTGGACAGGGGTAGTCAGAGTTGATATTTTCCTTTAAAGTTCACTTGTTTCCATATTCTAAGTTGACAAGTACACTGTGCTTTTCTTGTGCAGATTTTCATCTTCAAGGCCCACCGACACCTGCCCAAATTTCAGGTTATACTTGATGGTTTCTGTAAACCTGTACTTTTCTCTGCAGCCCTCGCTCGTCGCCTTCTCTTGCTATGGTTGAGAGGCGGCAGGAGGCTGCTACTTGGGAGTTTCAAATCCACTTTTAAACTAGAAAGGCAGTCAGAGCGCTCGCTCCGCTGTGTGGTCAGGAGCGCTTCAGGGTCCTATTCGGGAGCTCAGCGTCGCTTGTGGAAGGACTGTGACCAGGGAAGGCCTTGGTGGCGGGGCCTCCTTGCTCCAGGGACAAAGGCTATTTGAGAGAGGCCAGCCTTTTCTCACCTCCCGAGGTTGTCATCAGAACGCGCTTGCATGGGACTTCAAGTCCCCTATTCTACAGATCTTAGGTGGGAGAAAGTTGCCACGTCCCAAGGCGTTCTCAGCGTCTCAGGAGATCCCGGCAGGCCTTTGTTGCGGATTGTTTAGGCGGCTGCAAACGGTACGTTTCTCTCGGTCTCGCTTTTGTGAGTCGGGATAAGTGCGTCCCTTCTCGCTTGCCTTATGTCAGGCGAGGCGAAGAGCGTACTATTTTCCAGTCTGCCGGAGGGGGGACACTCACGTGCGACTCTCTGCTTCCCGGAGAGCAGCAGTGGCTTCCACGAAACTAACGCTCGATCTACTAGGAGGAGATTATATTGTTCCGGGAGCCTGCACAAAGGCAGGAACTACCGTCTTCAAGAACTAGACAATGGACGCGCTCCTTCACTCCCCCTCGGTTCGCTTGAATTGGCCCGGCCTGCCCGCGTTAGCCTGCCGCCACAAAGCTTCCTCAGCCTCTGACAGCTCGTTGGGGAGTACCTCACGGTCTCAAATCCTAGCTCAAGGGGCGGGACGAACGCGCGCGGGGCGGGGCTAGCGCAAGACTGAGTGCTAGCCAGGGGCGCGCGAGCAAAGCCGAAAGGAGCCGAGCCGAGCCGAGCCGAGCCGCGAGGTGCCGGGGAGAGGCAGGCTGAGCCGGGCCGGCCGCCTGCGGCTCAGTGCGGATTGTGCGGTGTAGCCGGGCTCTGCGTCTACCAGCCTCAGCCCAGGCTCCTGCAAAACTTTTATTCTCTTGGGCCCCCCGGGGTGTGTGAAGGCGTCGGAACGTTCAGCTGTCTCCGCGCCCTCTGCAGCAGCGACTGAGGGGACCTGCATCCTTTGCCCGCCGGGCTCTCGTGCCCTCAGCCTCCTCACCTGCCGATCGCTCCCCGGAGCCGCGAGGGGGCACCCCCGGAGGGATCGCGCGGGCCCGGTCGCCCCGAACTCCCTCTTGCCGCGGCAGACCCGCCCGGCGCAACTTTAACTTGGTTCCTCGCGCCCAGCCCCGGCACCCGAGGCTGCCGCCGCCGCCACCACCACCACCACCACCGCCCCCGCCGCCGCCGCCGCGGCTGCCGCGGTTTCACAAAGGGCGCAGGAGGGGAGGCGGCACTGGCGGCAGGCACCGGCCTCCGGGCCGCCGAGGCAGGGAGACAAAAGGGAAACTGCCTCTGCTTGCGGCGCGGGTTTGGAACCACCAGCTCATCTGCCTCTTGCTCGGCTCCGTGCGCTTCCTTCCCCCTACCCTAGGCTACTGCTCCGCCTCCCTCCAGGCGGGCTGTCCCCGCAGTGCTTCAGACCCGGCGAGCCTTCGGGGCGCGCGTCGCTGCTGGTGGTTGGGGCTCTAGTGATAATAAATGATAGAGGATACGATGACTTTGCTGTCTCTGCTGGGTCGCATCATGCGCTACTTCTTGCTTAGACCCGAGACGCTTTTCCTGCTGTGCATCAGCTTAGCGCTCTGGAGTTACTTCTTCCACACAGACGAAGTAAAGACCATCGTCAAGTCCAGCCGGGACGCGGTGAAGATGGTGAAGGGCAAGGTGGCTGAGATTATGCAGAACGATCGACTTGGAGGGCTTGACGTGCTGGAGGCCGAGTTTTCTAAGACCTGGGAGTTCAAGAGCCATAACGTGGCGGTGTATTCCATCCAGGGCCGAAGAGACCACATGGAGGACCGCTTCGAAGTTCTTACCGACCTGGCCAACAAAACGCACCCGTCCATCTTTGGGATCTTCGATGGGCACGGCGGCGAGGTAGGAGTTCCACTGGGTGCGCTCTCCACCCCCCCACCCGTGTGTGTGAGTGTGTGTGTGTGTGTGTGTAAACAACAGGATGTCGCATGTGCGACGGGGTAGGACTTGGGTGAGAGGGGCGTGGTGTCTGGACAGATGTGGCTCAAGTTGCCCCAAACACTGCTGTATGGGGACCTTGGAGCCGAGCGACCTGTTTAGCAGAGAGTCATTCACCACGTATTTCGTGCTGTTTTAATATGAGGACTCCAAAGCCAAATGACCGTGCTAGTTTTTCGGGAAGAATTAATGGTATTTCCAGTGAACTTTTGTCCCGGGCCTCAGAGCCCCGGTTCCAGAGTTTGAGGATGCATTACCACAAAGAAGGAAGACAGTATCTTTGATGTATTCTTAGAGAAATGGACAAAATCTGGAAGGTAGAGAGTTGGTCGAGGGTGAAGGAAACCGTGACTCTTTCCCTTTGCCTTCACTCTAGGGAGGAACTAGAGTGGCTCTGCTCTTCCTCCCAAGGCCATCAACTTTGCAAGTTCAACAGAGAGCACCTCGCTGGCCCAAGGTTTTTTTTTTTTTTTTTTTTTTTTAAAGCTAGATCGCCTCATGGGACCGTGATGCCCCCCGCCTATGCAGAGATACCCGTGCCCAAAGAGCTGCCTGTTCCCTGACCTCACCCCTGTGTCCTAGTCAACATGGGGGTGCAGATGTCCCCTTGCTTGTAAACACCTTTGTTTGGAGGTTCATTTGGGAGCAGGAAATGGGGCTAAAGGCCAGCTTAAGTCTCTCTCACTTTTCTGCTGCATCTGGGTGGTTTGCTGGGACTTAGTTTACTGAGTGTTGGTTCCTGTCCTTGGCTTGGACCTGGGCTAAGTCTGACAAATGTGGCTCCAGTGTCCTGCTCCAAAAAAAAACAAAAACAAACAAAAAAAAACACATCAGGCCAGTCACCCCATCTTTCTTTGGACAGTTTGTAAAGTTTCATTGCTTAATACCCCTTTCCCTTTGGCAGCATACTTTCTTACTCTTCTTTTCCTTTCTTCTTCTTTTTCCCCCCATTATTCTTCTTCACTCCCACCTGATTCCCCTTCTTTGCTCTCTGATTGTTGTGTGGGTTGTAGGGAACTGTAGGGACTGTCATTCTCTTTCAGGCATTTGCTTGTTCTTTAGCCTTGATTTTGGGTAAACATTGAAAAAAACTTTCAATTGGTTATCTTATCTGCATTCTCCACCCACCATCTGCAAATCTTTCCCTGGTTCTGTTCTACTTGCCCTGTAGAACCCACTTTGCCAAGAATGAAAAAAACAATTAGAAAACTTTCTTGATAGAACTGAAATCAGTTTTTGCTATTTTCCATTCACCTTAGTCTTTTTTATTGTCTATCTTAAAAATGAAATTTTCTTACTAATAGTAATTTTGTAGCCTTTTGTCTGATGTGGGTTTTCACTCTCCTTGACGACAGCCTAGATGAAAGATGTGAAGTTAATTGGGAAGAGACACTGCATACTTGGGCAAAAACATAGCTGAATGATAAGGTTGCCAGTATAAGGACTGATTTGTCTTCTTGAGTCAGAATGTCTGTATTTTCATTTTATGTCCCTAGACTCAGGAGGGGAGAAGGAAATTATTATTCTATCATTTGTAAATCATTTAGTAAACATACTTTATCCTATATTAAAATTCTTGTCTAATGATAATCTGATTTTGGTCTTAGCACAATTTTACTTTTAATTAAAAGGTTTTGATATAATAGTAATGTTGTAAAACTTTGGGTTGTGGTGGTCTAGATGTGATATATTGGCATGTTTTGAGCCTGTGTGTATAAGTGATTGGGTGATTACAGTTTTTTTTCTTCTAAATTCATTTTCTAAAACATGAAAGTTGAAGACCCAAGCAGGTTTCAGGTTGAAAGTTTCCAGTACTATCTTGTTTTATATGTACTTGGCTTTTTCATTAAATTTTTAATATTAAATGAAAATATGGTCATTTTTAGCCAAACTATGATTTTCATTGTGCTTTATATTGAAATGCATGCTGTTTGCAAAATAATTAATATACCCTCAGAAATAGAATAATGGTTCTCTCTATAACCTTTTACCATGTGCAGCCTGTTCATTCATTTTGGCTGTGGTTTAAGGCAAAATAGGGTAAGTGCTATAAAAGGAGCTATTTAGTTGTTGTTGAGACTATAGTAATAACAAATACTATTGGATTATTTCTGTCTAGGTTTTTCTTTATATATCATTTGAAGACAATCCCCTGGTCTAATTCTTGTCTTTTGTGTTCTTTAACTCCTTTAACATTCACCAGAGGAGGGTGCCGCTGTTTGATTTGTTATAAATGACAGTTACGTCCTTTCAGAAAAGAAGGAGTACTCCATTACACACACACACACCTCACACACACACACACACACACACACACACATAGAGTCTCTAGAGTGGTAGAGAGGATAAATGAGGAGCTTAATTTTATTTCTAATAATTCACATTAATAAAGAAGCAAAGACCCACCTATAATGATGATCTAGAAGGGACCTTGTATATCTTTGTATATCTATTGTATTGTTGTATACCCATTTCGTTCCACTTTTTTTTTAGATTGCTGGGGAAACTGTGACCTTCCAAAGACTACGTTGCTAGTTTGAGGGCTTTAGTTTATAGATCTTCATATTAAGCCACTGGAAAAATTGGTTTGCATATTTGCGCAGAGAAATAGCACTCTTCGGAAATACAAGGATGATAGAGACATAACCCCTATCTTTAAAAAGTTTCAGTCTAATGAGAGATAGACCTTTATACAAAAAAAAATTATAGCCATAGCATGCTTTTGGTGTTATGGGAACATAGAGGAGGGACATTTAACTCAAACTGAGAAGTGGGAGGCCTAGAGAAAAACAGTGAAGGCATCATTTACTGCAAGATTAAAAGCATAGGCTTTGACTTGAGATCTGGCTTTGAATTTATGTCCTGCCTTAGACTAGTAGTGACCTTGGACAAATTGCTTAAACTGCTTTATCTGGGAGTTTCTTATCTTAAAAATAGAGATAATAATGCATGTAAGGTGTATATACCCTCATCAATTTTATTATGCCCTTCTAGAGAAGTGCTTAATGGACAGAAGGGTATGGAAGAAGAAAGCTCAGGAACTGAGAAGTCAGCTGTGTTGTGGTGGTAATATTCAAGGGAGAGAGACGCTACCAGGGGAAGCCACAAATTTGATCTCTAGAAAGATGAATATAAGGCAAGGATAATTCTTTAGGTATTCCTGAAACTCTCTCTTCGTTCTAACTTATGGTGAACTTCTGATTACTAATTCAGGATTCTGTTTATATGTACATTAATAAAGCAGCATTCTGCCATCACATGTGAATTTTCTGATAAGTGACAAGGAGTATTTTCTATGATTAATTAATAAATTGGTATTCTAATTGTAACTGAACTCTTATGAGTTGGGTTAGCATGTATTAATTCTATTCAACTATGGATTTTTTGGGCATGGGGTGGGTACCAGGAATTGAACTCAGGGGCAGTCAACCACTTAGCCACATCCCCAGCCCTATTTTGTATTTTATTTAGAGACAGGTCTCACTGAGTTGCTTATGCCTCGCTTTTTGCTGAGGCTGGCTTTGAACTTGCAATCCTCCTGTCTCAGCCTTCCAAGCCACTGGGTTTAAGGCATGCACCACTGCATCTGGCAACCATGGATTTTTTGACAGAAATATATCTCTGGACTTGATATGCTGAAAATTAGATTCTAGGTAGCTGTGATTTCATTTAGATGGATGAAATCTTAAGGACTATTGTCTCTAAGTTCCTACAGGCCAGCTTCTTCACTTGATCCTCTTGGACATTTGGGACATCTTAATCTCTTAGTCTAGGAGAAGGATGACTGTATATACATATCTAAAGCTATGAGTTTATGTGGTATAATGTAAGATTAAAACAAAAAGTAAAAAAAAAGCTCAGATTGTATCAATTGGTGTAGAAGGGTTGTTAGTTTTAAAATTTGAAGTTCAAAATAATGTTTATCTAAGAAAATGACTGCTTTTTGGGCTTATCTGTAGTTTTATCCATAGGCAATAAATTAAAAACAAATACTATGTAGAAAAAATATCACTAATCGTTTGAGGTTCTTTGTCAGTGTTCATAGCTGAAACTCATGCAGGGAATGGATTGTTATGTGTTACATATGTTTATGRGTGTTACTAAAAGATTTTGGACACGTGAAACATCTTAACCACCATAGTCCAGTGGAAAGTCATATATATCTTGACAGTTGATACATGACTTGAAAAAGTCCCACATTTCATATCAGTTCCACATTTAGGTGCAATACTTCTCAGAAGCTCAGAAGAGAAATGCTTATGGATGGTTGCCTGAAGGATACCCATAATCCAGCCTAGTTCTTTAGATCAGTGATTCTTAACTTTTCTTGAGTCATGCTTCCTTTTGAGAATGTTATGAAACTATAGGCATATTTCCCAGAAAAAAACAGATATGCATATCAAACTTTGTTTATAATTTTAAAGGCAAGTGATGCATGAGGCCTCTCTATTTCAGGTTAGTCTGGATAACATAGTCTGTTTCTGGTGAATCTAGACCTGCAAGGAGCCTTTCTCTCCAGCATTTGCATTTATTATTGTCATGTTATCTGTGAGGGTTGTTCTAAGAATGGTCTTCCAAAGCTGTCTGAGAAATCAACTGCAAGGATGTTGCTTGGGTCTTTGTTACATTATATAGCATCCTCTTTATGAAGACCAGGGGAGTAAAAATATTCTAATTCTTTTTTGTTTTATCTTAAGGATATTGAATCATGACAGACTGAGTTATCCTGTGTTTTTTGGCTGCTGGAAGTGTGAAGAGCCCAACTCTGACCCCTAGCATGCACATAATTTTATTATTTGATGCATAAACTTTACTTCCAGGACAGCTTATCTTCCTTATATTCAATTTTCTTTTGTTCTTTTTCTTCTTAGATATGTCATTTTATCTTGTTGTGTCATATGTAT